CTCCCTCCTGCATTTGCCCCCCGCCCCGATGGATCCCTTTGATGTGGTTCTTTGGTCCATTTCAATCCATGTCTACCCCCGACATAGGTGAGGGGGTACAGTTTTTATTGAAGGCATGAGGATTTCTATCTGGCCTGCACCGTGTGAGCGATCCAGCTGACAAAAGGACAAGAATTACATGTGCCCTTCCCAGTTTGGCTCAGTGGATAGAGCATCGGTCTGCAGACTAAGGGGTCCCAGGTTCGATTCCAGTCAAGGGCATGTACCTTGGTTGCAGGCACATCCCCAGTGGGGGGTGTGCAGGAGGCAGCTGATCGATGTTTCTCTCTCATCAATGTTTCTAACTCTCTATCCCTCTCCCTTCCTCTCTGTAAAAAATCAATAAAATATATTTTTTTAAAAAAGAAGAATTGCATGTAAATTACCCACAAGTAGCACTTCCCCAGGATGGCAGCCGGCAGTCCCTGCACTGCCCTATGTTACATGCCCCATGACCGAGGCCCGAGTGCCCACTTGGTCAGTGAACAGTCACTACTGACCAATGGCGAGACTTTCACTTACTGCACGAAGGCTGTGAACTTGATCATCTCTAAAGATCCTCACTGAACTCTACTTCTAATTTGTACCTTTCACTTCTTCCTTTTTCGTTTACTTTTTCTAAGTACAGTTGCTGAGAGCTGGGCTCTAGAACTCAGGCAAACCTGATGGCTCGCCCACCGGCTGGGGAAGGGTGTATAAAGGATTACGATTCCCGGGCCAGGTCCTATTTCGTCAGCTGTGTCCTTCCCTGGTCTGGTGACCCTCCTGGGCAGTGCCTTCCTGAGGACAGAGGCCCCGATGACAAGTATGGCACCGCCAGAGGGGTTGTGGAACAGGCCACCTGTCCGACTTAGTGTCTGTCAGTGTCCCAGCTTCTGCGCAAACCTCACATCTGCTGGAGACAAAACCGATAATATTTCTCCCACTCGCATCATTAGAGTTGCTCCTGGGAGTTTATGCAAAGAGAAATGACAGAAATAGTGGCCTAACAAGGGTCCTGTTCTCCCTCCATAAACTCTACCCAATGCAGGTTATCAAAGAGGGTTCAGGGGTGGGGGGGACTGGGTAAGGTTAAAAAATACCCAAGCCCTGTGGTTGCACAGAGAGGCGGGAGGCCTTGAGCCCAGGCTTCCCCTCCTGCCCTTCGTTTGCTGTTTACTCCAGGGCGGCGCTGCCTCCCTTAGCAATGAAAACCACACAGTCACCTCGAAAACAGTCTTCATCCTAACGTCTCAGATGTCAATCACAACCCCAACACGTCACCACGCAGAATAAGAGCCGGCCTGTGCCACTCAGCAGCCGTCCCCATGGTCGCCAGCAACCATGAGTTTAAAAGGTGAGTGACTTCACTTTTTAAAATAAAGTATAAAGATCAAGGTCCCCCCTATGTTACTCTCTCTCTTGCATTCTCACTCGCTTCCTTCCAGGGGCAGAAAGATGTGGCTGTGAGCTGCTGAGCTGGGAGCCGCCCCGCCCGGGGTCCCACGTGAGACACCCCATGCACGTGGGAGGGAACGGCCTCTGACCCACTCCTGGTCTGTGACATTCTACTGCCAAACCCTCCTTTAGAAAGCAAACGGCGTGGTTCTTAAGCGTTCTGACGGGGCGTTCAAGCTGCTGCTTTGCAGCCCGACCCTCAATCTTTCTCACTTTTCCATAGACGGATACCACGTTTCAGACAGTGACATGGCTTTTGAGAAATTATTTTGCCTTTAAATATTTCAAAAGTATTTGTCCTCACCAATCAGCAAAGCCTCAAAATACACGAAACAGAGACGGATCTAGCTGAAAGGGGGACTAGGCAAGGCCACTGTTATAGTGGAGACATCAACACCCCCTCCCAGGCACGGCTGGGGGGTCTAGACAATATCAGCCAGGACACAAAAGACCGGAACTCCCTGCAGCCAGCAGAACCGACCTGGTGTTTACAGGGCATTTCCCCCGGCAGCAGGATACACCTTTGTTTCTAAGTACCCGTGTACATTTATCAACACAGACCATACCCTGGGCCATGAAATAAATCTTAACAAATCTAAAAGAACTGAAACCACACAGAGTGTGTTCTCTGACCACAACTCAATCAAATGAGACATCAGGAACAGACAACCGGAAAATCTCTAAGCACGGCGAAACTCAGTAACACACAGGGCAAAAGCAAGTTTCAGGCACTCAGACACATGCCCACAGGCGCGCACACACACACACACACACACACACACACACACACAGAAATTTCAAAATAGGCAGACCTGAATGAAAAGGAATTACATTCTATATCAAAATTTGCGAGACTTGGCTAATGCAGTGGGGAGAAAGAAACATTTATTGCATTAACTTACATTAGAAATGAGAAAAGGTCTCAAATAAAAAACTTAAGTTTTTAACCTTGAAACATTAGCAAAACAAACCCAAAGCATTGAGAATGAAGATAAGAGCAGAAATAAATGAAATTCAACATAGGAAAACAATAGAAAAAAATAATTGAAACAAAAAGTCTAGTTCTTTGGAAAAATAAATAAAATTGACAAATCTATAGCAAAACTGACAAATATTAAAAGCAAAAAGGGACTAATGATATTAGAAACGAAACAGGAGAGATCAGTACAGACCCTACAGACATAAGAGGATAATAAGAGAATATGATGAAGTTTACACTCATCAATTTGACAACTTAGAAGAGATGGACTAATTTCTTGAAAACTACACAGACGCACACAAGCATACACACACTCAGACACTCACAGACATACACATAAACATACACACCAAGGACAGTCATACGATAGGTGCATATTTAACTTATTAAAAACTGCCAAACTGTGTTCTAAAATTATTGCATACCCACCAGGAGTGTGTGAGTTCCATTTCTTCCACATCCTTGCCAATGCTTGGCAGGTCAATCTTTTGAATGTACCCTTTTAATAAGCGAGCAGTGGTTTTAATTGGGTTTCAAGATGTTGAGTATTTTTGTCAGGTGTTTATTGTCATCTTTATATCTCCTTGGTAAAGGTCTGTTCACATCTTTTGCCTATTTTATTTTTTATGAATTGTGGCTATTTCCCTGCTCATTAACAAATCAGCAGTTCATTTTTGTTCCTCAAAACAATCAGACACATACACACAGACACACACTAAGGCATAAACACAGACACACACACAACACACACACACATACACACAGGCACACACTCAGACACATACACACAGACACACACTAAGACATAAACACAGACACACACACAACACACACACACATACACACAGGCACACACTCAGACACATACATGCAGGCACACACACACACAAGTACAAGTAAAATTGGAGAAATCTGTGTAGGTCAGTGGACCTTATCATTGTCAATATCCTGCTGTTATACTGTACTCTAGTTTCACAAAATGTTATCATCAGGGAAAACAGGGCAAAGTTTATGAGCCCTCTCTGTGTATTGTTCCTTATGACTGCATGTGACTCTACAGCTATAAAAAGTTCAATTGAAAAAGTCCGATAAGAATGTTTCCGAAATCACAGTTCTTATGACGACCTACACCAAGCACAACCTTAAAAATCACTTTCATGGTTATTATTTCTTTCTCAACAACCGAGTGTGTGACTGGTGATGACTCCTGTCCTGGAAGATTGGGGATGTGCCCGGAAGAGTTTACACCGCCCTCCCCCAGGGCCTGTACTGAGACGATAACACCCCCAGCCCCTTACACAGGCCCCACGGAGGAGCCCCTGCCTGAGCCGTGGGGAAGAAGCCAGGCTGTTCTCACGAGTCCCAGCCACAGGCCTGACACCTCATGGGTGCAGGGGGAAGACTCTGGACTCTTGCCTTGGGCCCTGACGCCTGCCCGCAGTCTCGCCTACTACCTGCGCTGGCTGTGACTCAGTGGGCACCTGCAGGTGTGGCCTGGCCGCCAGCAGCCCTCCCCAGTTCCCCGTGTTCTTCCCCATGGGAAGCTCTCATGAGCCAGGAGAAGGTGGGACGCAGCACCAAGGTCACAGCCCCAGGAGGCAGTGCCCCCAGCCTGGGAAACAATCTGGAACTTTCCAGGGACCAAGAGGATGGAGTGGGAGTGGCTGCCCTCCCCAGAGCCCCACCTGGTGGCCAGACGTGGGGAGTTCCTAGGTTTCCTTTTGAGGAAGTGTTCTGAGGGCGGGTGTGATGATCCAGAAGCCGTCTGGACCAGGGACCTTCCCTGGTCCTATCCCATCCTTTCCCTTCCTTTTCCTCTGGTGTGAAAAGATGCCCTAAATTAAATTACAGCAACTGGAGGGTGCAAGGAGGAGGTGAGGGAGGCTAATGCGTTAACAACTGCAGAGGAAAAACGACAAAACACGGCTCCCATTCCCGAGTGTGAGCTGGAGCTTTGAATTAACTCCCAGGAGTGGGTGCACAGGCTGTGTGCGGAGCCCCGCCAGCCGCCGTGCAGACACATCCAGAAGCAGTGCAGCGACTCTGACGTGGCGGCGAGCATCCAAATACCATGGCCAAATGGTGTTCCCTTTCTTACTTCCTTCATCCCCTTCTCCGTCTCAGACCTCCTGGGGGGGCGGTCTCTGCAGCCGCTCCCTCCCCAAGCCCCTGGGCCCATGCTGCCGAGAGACTCGCCCACCTTCCCCACTGCTGCCTCCAGGCAAAGGAGCACGTGTACCTTCTCGTGAATTCATCTGTGAGAAAGCACCAGAGGTGACTCACCAAGCGACCTGTGTGTGTAATGGGATGACGGTTGTGTGGGTAACAGGAAGGGGCTCTACCGCTACAGGCGCCCGGCAGGCTAACGGGACACTGCAGAGAGGTAGGGAAGCTTTTGGCTCTCTTTTAAAAAAAACAAACCACAGGTGTTTTTAATATGTTTTTAATTGATTTTAGAGAAAAAGGGGGAGAGAGAGAGAGAGAGAGAGACATCGATGTGAGAGAAATATCCATTGGCTGCCTCCTGCATGCCCCCCTACAGGGGATCGAGCCCATAACCGGGCATGTGCCCTGACCAGGAATTGAACTAGCGGCCTCTCAGTGCACCAGATGATGCTCAACCAACTGAGCCACACTGGCCAGGGCTCCTCTGGCCTCTTGATGACACGTGACTGTCTGCTCTGTTGGCCTCAGGACCCGCTGTGCCGGTGAGGTGGCCCTGGCTTATCCCACTGCTCTGTTTCTCACTCTGAGCCTCATGATAGAATATGAGGCCATGCTGACCTGCTGAGAAACCTGTTCTAACAGAAACACGCAAGGCCCACCATGTACATAGAAGAGATCAGATTGAAGCAGCCGAACCTCTACAATCAACCAGGGGTGTGGTTTCAGTTTACACGAGCAGTCGGCACACGTTCAGACAAGCTCCCACTGACCACTGCGTTAGGAGAGCATATGTCCTGTGGAAGCATGGGACAAGAACACACCAGGCTCCAAGTGCTACGGGGCCAAGCAGACATAAGCCTTAAACTAATCACCGGGAGACTGGTTCCCACGAGCAGGAAACGTGGGTGTGGTTCTGGTACCTGGGGATAAAACGTGTGCACAGGGACATCCACAGTGACAGCCCCCACAGTGCTGGGCCGCGTGGCTGCTGGGCCCATGGCTTTGCATGTGGACTTGCTTATGTTGTCACTCGTGTTGAAGGGCTGCTGCAGAGAAAACCTAATCGACACGTGGGAAAGGGTAGCACTTCTCAGTGAGGGTCAGAAAGGCACTTCCAGGTCATTTTAGTCCAGCGCCCCAGTGGCTCGTCAGAGGCGTTAGAAGCAAACTGTTCTGGGTGGAGAGATGGTCCGCCTCTGGCTCTGCTGGTGGTGCCAGCCAGCCGAGCACTGAAGGCATTTGCTCATGAAAGTTTCCAGCCGGGAATCCGTGGAGGGACGGGGATGTCTCCATCGTGGCAGGAACTCAGCGTGGTGGCTTGTGCCCTTTCTCTTCAAGTTTTCAAGTCCCTCTAGAAATAGAAACGTGCGTGTTATCTTGTCAGCGCTTCCCGTCATCCCTTCCCCGTGAGGATGGAGTGGGCACTGGCATTTTAACCCAGTGAAGCCGCCGCTGTTCTCTGCGATTAACGGGGACAGAGCGGCCTCTGCTGGCGGAGGCTGCCAGCTCCCCACGGACCGCAGGCTAGTGTAACACAGCTCCCTCCTGGGGCCCCTCCCAGCCTGCCCGCCTGTGTCTTTCATCACCGACCCAGATGTTTTCCGTAGTTTCCACGTGACCTTCCCAGCTCCTAGCATCATGTTCCTGAGTCCCAGCCTAGTCAGAGCAATTTTGCTTTAAGCCCCAAAGAGACAGAGATAAACCACAGGATGAAATGATGCTCGAGCAGGCAGTCCCACCCGCTAACAATTCCCTTCAAGGTGTGTGAGCTCTGGGAAGGCCCTCACATCCATGTTCCAAAGGGGCAACTGAAAATGCAGACCCCTCCTGCCCTCCGCAAAGCTCTCCTGGGAAGGGGAGCCTCTCCGGTCTTCCCGGGGGACACCTGCAGAGAGACTTGCAAAAGGGAGAGTCTCGCCCGGCCAGCGTGGCTGGGTGGTTGAGCGTCAACCGATGAACCAGGTCATGTTCGATTCCTGGTCAGGGCACATGCCCAGGTTTCAAACTCAATCCCCAGTAGAGGCCATGCCGGTGGCAGCCAAAGATTCTCTCTCATCATTGGTGTCTCTATCTCTCCTCTCCCTTCCTCTCTGAAATCAATCAATAAAAATATATTTAATTTAAAAGGGGGGGGGGGTTGAGTCTCACCCTGGCCTTCAGTGGGCCGGAGGCAGCTCAGATGCTCTGGGGCATCAAGAGATCCATCCATCACAGACAAAACGGCTCTCCCAGCGTCATAGAGAGTGGAAGCCGTTTCTAAGCCTGATGGGGAGCCACAAGGCTCTAAATGTGTTCTCACAGGGACCCTGAGATCCGGGCATCATGATCACTAGGACCCACCCACACCCTGATCACACCCCCTGGAGAAGGGCCCCGGGGGCGTCAATGTCCACAAAGAGCCAGGGCGAGTCCTGGGCACCCCCACCTCGGAGAACCGCCCATTCTGCGAGGCAGCCTGTGCTGGGGCTGGAGTCCTGCTCTGGGGCCTTCGGCAGGTCCCCTCACCTGTAATATGAGGAGGGTCCCAGGACCTGCCTGCCGGTATGCTGCTGGGACCTCGGGTGGCACCCCTGCTAGCAGCCTTGCCCACCCCCAGCCTCCTCCACAGCGTGAGGACTGGGAGGTGGTTTCTCCCACTGGCACCTGTTTCAGGCTCAGCTTTCTTTACCAGCAGCTCGTCACACGGACCCTCAGGCCCCTGCGTGCAGCCTCGTGGAGGGCGCTCCTCCGTGGCTTTGTGGGCGAGTTCAGACCTGCTCCTGTTTCCTGCCCTCCACGCACCAGGCCCACACTGCTGTCCGCACCCCAGGCTCCCACTCACGGGCCATCGAGGCCACTGCAGGGCAGGGGTGCTCCTTCCTCCATCTTCTCTGACACTCGGTGAGAGGCTGGTGGGTTTGGACTGAATTTTGTGCTACAGAGCTTAGTGCGGGGCCAACCTGCCAGTGAACAACCCACTGATGCTTCCTGAGGGCCTGTCTTCCAGCATTTACTGCCCTGCCCAGCCCCCCTCCCCCGTGGGCACTGAGGCAGGACTGTGGGCACCTGCGGAGGGCGCAGCTCACAGCAGCAGGGCTGGGATGCACAGCAGGCTGAGTGCCAGGCCTGGGCCTGGGCCTTGCACAAAGGAAACTGCTACGGAACTTCTCACTTCAAGCAAAAATTCCCAAGAAAGACAGGAAATTAACGCCCAGGTTCACATGAAAGGCCTGATGTCCTTCTTAGCCCATTGTTTCAAGTCAGAAGGCGTCCTTAAGAAGGCCTGTGGTCCGCATGGACAGAACGCAGATTGCTGGATGCCAGAGGCGGAGGGAGCGGGAAGGGGCTGATGCTTAGCGAGGTCTTGTTGCAGGAGGTGAAATGTCCTGGGACTAGAGAGGTGCGCACAGCTCTGTGAGTGCGCTAACGCCGCTGGAGGCTCACTTTAAAATGACTGGCTTTATGTCACGCAAACGTTGCCTCGATTAAAGAAAACGACGTCTTTGAAACTGGTCCAAAACGTGCTGTGGGGCTCAGAGTCCAAGATCGAGTCAGCAAATATTTGCGGAGTGGCCACAGGTGGAGGTGCCCTGCTTCCCAGGCTCCTGTGCGGCCTGGCCTCACCTCCCTGCAGCCTCCCCACACACACACCTGCTTCCTGTCCCTCTGGAGTCTCCATTCCTTTCTCAGGGGGTGTTCCTCCTTCCTCCCCACCTTCTCCAGGGCTCCCCCTGACCACCTGTTCCTCCAAGACAGTCTCACTGACCTGTCTCCCTCTCCCAGGTCCCCTCCAGGGAGGCCCCCCAAGCACAGAGCTGCCCAGGCTCCTCCTGGTCAGACTCTCCATCCCATCCCTGGCCCATGGCAAGGTTCAACCCCCTCAGTGGGCATGGGGGTCCTCCCCAACCTGTCTTGCCCTCATCCACCCGCTATTCCACGCACATGCCCACTCTACTTGTCCCCATCCCCAAGGACTCCCCACTCTTGGCTGCTTCTCTTCCTTTCCCTGATTGGTGGAGGCACGGTCACCCATGTGTGCCCACCCTGCTCACGTCCCACACCCAGGAGCCACAAAGTCACTGCTTGACGAATCAACAACTGATGGCTCACCCCCTGGCTGTCTATAGCAGGACTGGAGTCATAGAGGGCTGACAGGGACCAGCGGGAGCTGGGCGGGCACTGCACCCACCTCCATCTGCTCGTGAATCCAGTCCAGGAAGGAGGTGATGCGGGTGTAGACCCCGGGCTTGTTCACGTCCGCACAGCCGATGCCAAAGCTGGTCGCTCCCACCAACTTCCACTCCCTCCTCTCCTGACACACCAGGGGTCCCCCGCTGTCTCCCTAGACAGCAGGCAAAGAGACTAAGGGCCACAGAACAGGCCCCGGCATGGCTGTCCCTGGTTCTGGTGCAGGATTCCCCGGTCACCGCACCACAAAGTCCAGCGTGAGGTTGGCGCTGTGCTCCCCCGGCAGCCCTTCTGGACCTGACTCGGCGTTCCTCACAGTGGGTCCTGTCCCTCTGATGGAGCCCCAGCCATCTCCCAGCAGACACTGAGCCCATGGAGGTCAAGGCACCTCTCAGAGGGAGCTCTCAGAGGGAGGGCCAGCCTGGCCGGAGCCTTTAGCTGACCTCCGGACCCAGGCAGAATTGGGGTCTCACCCACTGTGGCTTTGGAGGCCCCCTTCACAGGTTCCCACCTGCCTCCCACCTCTGGTCCCCCTGCAAACTCTGAGAACCTGGGTGGGAAGGTAGCATCCCTGAGTCCCCTCCTCCCACCCAGCACCCAGGCAGAGTGGGAGCTGGTAAACACGGGCTGGCCGGGAAAGGGCATGCTATCTGGAGCAAACTTCTTCCCCAGGCCTGTAAATTTGCTCTACAGTCAGTCACAGGGAGATGCTGGCAGTGGCCTCTCCCATGGGCTGGGTCACCATAACAGCCTCGCCTTGTCCACGGCCACGGCCCCTGGAGGTCACGGCGGGCCCCTACCTGGCAGCTGTCCACGCCGCCTTTCAGGTAGCCGGCACAGACCATGGAGGGGGAGATGATGCCGCCGTACACGTCCCTGTGGTTGCAGATCTTGTTGGAGATTAAAGGCACAGCTGCGTGGTTGAGGACCGGGGAGGCGTCGCCTGTGTCACAGGAAGAGGGGGACGTGCAGTGGGAACTCAAAGGGCACACATCTGGGGTGGGGACCAGAGCCAGGGGCACGTTACCTACCACCACAGGCACTTCAATGGCAGAGCCATCCGCTTCCCTACACGGACCAACATGGGAGGAGGGAGGAGCAACTGTCACCACCATGGACCTGCCCAGGGCCTACCCTGGGTCAAGCATTTGATCCACACAGGCTGTTTTGTTCTCAGAACAACCCAGGTCACACAGAAGGGAGGCTGAGGCTTGTGAGGGTCACACACAGCTCTTCGAGGAATTTTGGGGTGGTCTGCAGAAAAATGTCCTCCCACAGGTGCCCACAGTCCAACCCCCAGAACCTATGACCATGTCGCCTTACATGGCCACAGGGACTTTGCAGACTGGAGATGGGGACAGGATCCTGGGCTCTCCAGGGGGACCCCAGGTGTAATAACAGGATCCTTGAAAGGGTCAAAGGAGAGCTTGTGATGGTGGAAGCAGAGATCAGAGAGGAGAGAGATGGAAGGTGCTGGGCTGCTGGCTGTGAAGATGAGGAAGGGGCCACAAACCAAGGAATGCGGCCGCTGGAATCTGGAAAAGGTGGGGAGCTGACTCTTCCCGAGCCCCCGGGAGCATCGCAGCCCTCCTGACATCTTGATCCCAGCCCACCAAGTCCGATGCAGGACTTCCAGGCCCCACAACCGTGAGAGAATGGGGGTCACTTGTTGCAGCAGCAACAGAAAATTAACGCACCTGCCGTGGATCAGCCTCAGCACCGACCCAAGACTGATGCCCTCTAACTTAACCTGCTGGTAAACTGCATTATCTTTATGCTTTAAAGGCGTAAAGCGGGGCAGCCCTGTTCTCATTCCTATAGCATGTATCCACCGGTGTGGGTCTGCGCGCCCCAGAACCCTCATTTTAACTGTTCCATGAGTGTGAGTGACACAGTGCTTTCTGCACAAGCTTCCCTAATCTGCTCACACGTCCACCAGCCCCGCAGTGAGGACCGCCTGGCCATGAGCTTGGGCTGAGATGGAACCTGTCCCTACTCGGTACACAGGGCCCAGCGAAGACAATGAAAGGATCCTCGCTGGGCACTCCAAGTTTATGAATAACAACACGAATAGGGCCATGGGCGGGGAGCACAAATACTTCCACCACCTGGTCGTGTGAGCCCCAGCAAGGTGCTCAGCACCTGACTGTCCCCTCAAAGTGGGCAGGAGCACAGTGCCGCTCAGGGCTGCTGTGAGCACAGTGCCCGCTCGGGGCTGCTGTGAGCACAGGCAGGACCGCATCACTCTGCTCAGCGCCTGGGACGCGGGGAAACAAAGCTTAAAGCATTTGTGGGAGAAGTGTCCACTGTGGGCAGGAAGGCATGGCCAGCCGCAGGGGCGAGACCCTGCGCTGTGGGGAGGACTGGCCTCTGGGGCTGGGCAAACCCCGGGTGCCTCGGGCACTCGGGAGGGGACAGATGCAGCTAATAAGTCTCAAGAGGAAACACTGAACCCCCTCTCCTGGGTTGAATGGTGCCTCCCCCAAGCATGTCCACCTGCAACCTTAGGCTGTTTGGAATCGGGTCCATGCAGGTGTGATTAAGGAAGAGTCTCAAGATGGAACCATCCTGGATCAGGGTGGGCCTTCACTCCACAACTGCTGCTCTTCTAAGAGGAAGGAGAGGGGAGCTGAGACAGGGGCGGGAGGCCATGTGAAGGCCGGGACAGAGACCGGAGCGATGCCTCTGTGGTTCGAGGAACACCAAGGGCGGCTGACTACATTTGTTGGAGCAGTTGACTCGCACCCCAGCAGGACATGTGGGTGTCCCACAGAACATCACGATGGGACATGGGAGAGGGACGTGTCGGTGTGGACATCTACCCCAGCCCTCTCCTTCCGGGCTCCCTGGACTCAGAATCTGGACTCCAGGCCACTGACCTCCTTCCTCAGTGGCCCCCCATCCCGACGTCCAGCACATCTTCCCATCAGGAAAGTTCTCTTCGGAGTTGGGCAGACAAATCGGTTGGACCATCTCTGTTTAAAGAGGAAACAACAGCTCTCACATCTGGGCGCTAACCATCTCCCAAAGAAAGGTCAAGACCAAGGTCATCTGAAAGCCATTAGCTCAGAGCAGGGACCCCCTCCCCGATCAGACCCCTACAACTTCGAAACAAGCCTAGACTGTGGCAGCGTATGTTCTGGAAAGGGCCAAATGCACCCAGGCCACAGCAGCGTAAAAACAGCCACAGGCAGTGGTAAACAAATGGGTGTGGCTGTGTTCCAATAAAACTTTATTTACAAAACAGACTAGGGGTCAAGTTTGGCCCATGGGCCACAGCTTACTCACTCCTGGTCCAGGCCGTGGGTACCTGGCTTTACAGAACATCCCTCCATGGGTATCCTGTCCCTCCTGACATACCTGGAGGCCACAGCTCACCTGTCCATGTGGGCTGTGTCACATAAGCCTCCACCAAAGTCAGGGCCACGGCTGTCATGGGGCTTTCATGTGAACACAGTCTGAGATGTGCTAAGCCTTCTGGGTACGCCAATAATGGAAAGGTAGAGAGAGACTATGGGGAGGGTTTGTTTTGATTTTATCCAAGTACCAGCGTTGGCACCTCATTTTTGTATAAATCAAACATCATTAGTAATAATTTGCAAAGGAGCACCACCATTACAGTTTCTCTTTGTTTCTCTGGCAGGATTTGTGTCACGTGCAGTGTTACATGTGCCCTGCGGTCAGCATGCTGCTGACTCTGCCGCCGCTGGTCTGGCACCAGCGTTCAGCTCCTGTACGGGGCCTTGCTCATCACCCCGCCTGCACCCCACACTGCTGTACCCCTGGGGGAGGGAGGTTTGATTTGGGAGTGGGCTCATGAGGCTTTGTTTACAGCTTCAAAAAGTTTGAAAGTTCCATCCCTTGTGGCTTTTCTGTAACCTCCGCCGGCCACATCCTGACACCTCCCGTAGAGAAACAGCGGCTCCGTGAGAGGAGGTTTCTGAGTATTTCAGGAGCCGAAGATGCCTAGCATCTTCCAAACCGTAAGGAAGCGGCTGCAGGAAGGACCTGCCACCACCCGCTGGCTGGCCTGGGACGCACTTCCTCTCTTCACCAGGATCAAGAGCCTGGGCAGGTGGGCGGCACACGGGCAGGGGACCTCGCCACAACCAGCACCGGGCAGAGAAAGCTCTTTATCCCCACAGGCCAGAGGCCCCTTCCACCCCTAGAGGCACCAGGTGGCCTGGCTGGGACAAGTCCCTTTTATGTCTAGGTGGCACCACAGGAAGAAAATGGCACCAATCGGAGCCCCAGGGGGCCCGACAAACCAAATTGATTAAAGTAGAACCACAGAGGCTCTGAAATGAAGTTAACATCCCCGCAGCCCACAGTGACCTGAACTGGTGACCACCTGCCAACACTGAAGACGCAGGTGGGACCCAGCGTCTCCTAGCACAACAGCCTGGAGTCCTGAATACGATCAGAAGCATCTCATCATACCAGGAACCAGGAAAATGCCCACTTTGACGAGAAGAGAGTCGCCTGATGCCCACACAGAAGTGAGTCAGATGTTGGGGTTACCTGACAAGGCCTGTAAAGCAGTGTCCTAAAGAGGCCCCCACAAGCAACTACAGATTCTCCTGAAACACATGCGAGCCACCGAATGACAAAGAAATCCGGACGCACCGTCGAAGGTGAGCGGCCCCGCCAGCTTCATGAGGGCGATGTCGTTGCCCAGCCTCTTGGGCTTGTACTTGCTGTGGTAGATGATTTTCTCCACCAGGTGGGAGGGGGCTGGGCTGTCCAGCAGCGAGACGAGGCCCACCTGGATGGTCCATGACTTGGGGAGGTACAGGCTGCAAGGAGAAGACTGGGAGGTAAAGCAGGGACAGTCCAGCCCCTTTCACCCGGGGGGCTCAGGTGTCCCCAGATCCAGCCCCAGGGAGATGGCAGGTGTGTACGGCCCTGCTTGCCTGTGCTCGAACCCACCTCAGCCCCCTGCCCTGCAGAAGCACAGAGCCTCCCCTCCCCCCCATGCGTGTCCTGCAGCGGCCTCCCTCCCTGCACCTCTGAGCGAAGCAAAAATAACAGGGAGCAAAAATAGCCGAGTGTTTTCTGCGGTTTTCTCCTCTGCTCACCTCCCTTGAGGGGGACTCTTTGCCCCCACAACCCTGCACTGTCTCTCACCCTCTCGGCCACCACAGGTCCACCGTGACCAGCAACGGGGGTCTAAGACCTTTACGTCCCAGTTTCCTCCTGTGTGGGAGCGTCCTATCTTTTCTGTGAGAGCCGCGGCCTGAGGTCTCCGCAGCCCACGGTGATGGGTCCACAGCGAGGAGGGAAGGTCCCCCCACGTGGGTGTGACTTTGGTCCCTTTGCCTGCTTCCTGGACCTGCCGCTGACCACCCCAATCCGCCCGGTCCCACCGCGACCGGGACTGGACCCCTCCCAGGAGGCGGAGCACTCACTCATAAACGCAGTGGGCAGCGGTCACGATCCACACCGGGGTGATTACGGAGCCCCCGCACAGGTGGTAGCCCTGGAACTGAAGGCTGGCCTGCCAGGGCCACTGCGCGGGCGAGGACATGTTTCCGCCCACGATGCGAGCGGCGTAGCCCATCCTCAGACCGCAGGCTGCCGGGGGAGAACGGGGTTGGGGGTCCGTCCCACAGACCCTCCTCCCCTGCCATCTGCCCCCTCACAGAGCTCACAGCCCCGGAGAGTTCTGGGAGGAGAGGCACATGGTGAGGGGTGGGGACAGGCCCCCCGAGACGTGGGACGAGTGGGGTGTCGTGGGGGTACAGTGGGGAGAGTCCATCAGAGCAAAGAGCCCGATGCTGGCGGCACACCACCCCCAGGTACGCACAGCAGGAGCATGGGGAGCCTCCCATCGCCCCTCCTCCCTGACACAGGTGCCCGCGCACCTGCCTGACTCCTGCAGACCCAACCCTTGCAGCCAAATGCTGCCCCTCCGCCCCCACCAGCAAGAAGGACGGCCCCTGGGGGTGGGCCTGAGGGGGACAGGAGGAGGAGGAAGTCAGGCCACCGGAGCCACTACAGTGACAGGACCTCGCGTCCATGGTCCTGTTTGCTGCTGAGAAGTCACTCTGGGCCACCTCCCCCACCTGATAGGTGAGACTGGGCTGACAGGGCACCTAGGAGGAGGGGACTCCCAGGAGGAGAGGAGGGGGAGTCAGTGAGCGAGCTCAGGCTTCCATTGACCTCTGTGTTTCTAAAACTCTTACCTGTGCACTTCAAGGTGACCACGCGCCCCGAGGCACACCCCTCCCTAAAGTGGAGAAAGGGTGGGCTAGTGACAAATACCCCAGGCTGTGAGATGCACATTTTTAACTTAATCTTGGGGTAAAAGAAAAATAAACTCTATTCCCCTGCTCTTGAATACAGGGTAGAGTTTTAGCCTGTGTGACAAGCTTCCCTCAAAAGCACCGGCAGCGTGCAGGACTGCAGGCAATGGCGTGGAGCACTGCTCAGCTCTGCGGAGCTGATGATCAGGCGCATAATGCGCTCAGTCATGCAAACATCTACCGGGGTCATCTCTACGTCACGGTTACCCCAATGTTCTTCGCTGGCCCCCGGGGGACTTGGAGTGCCCACTAGATGGGTGGCAGGCTCTCCTGGCAGGAAGTCCTTGAAACCTGGGACACACACCTAGGCCAGGACTCCTGGAGCAGAGCTGTGACTGCCTGGGCCTGGCAGGCATCCCTCTGTGTGCGTGGGTGGGAGTGGCACCTGCTTTTCTCATAATCCACCCGGACTCCTTCCTAACTTTCCTGCTGTCAGAGCCCCAGTCCTGCCATGAAACGGACTGTCCCTACGGACTGCGTGTGTGCCCAAGGGTGCCTGTCAATTACAGGATGGACAGGGTGACAGGCTTGTTTCCTGGAGCAGAGGACACACTCCTCCGGGGGTTTGGTCCAGGCACCAGGGAGAGCATCGGAACTTGGGTTCAGAACCCTGACTCTCACCAGGCAGGTGATCCCTCTAAGCTTCAGGCACCTGGTGTCATTTAGGGACACCTCATCTTACCTTCCTCCTGACTTTGAGGAACAAGAAATGTACATGGTACATGTTAAAGGACTTTGTGAGCAAAAATGTTTCTTCTTTTTAATTTTCCCTCCCTCCTTCCTTCCCCGAAACACACGGGAGCCCCTATTGTGTGAGGTACAGTACTGTGGTTAGACGTACGTGCACGTCACTGTTCCTCCCCTCCCTCCTCCCTTCCTCTGCCGGCCACATTTGCTGGTTTGGGGTTAGGTTCTCACAGCCAGCGTGCCCACCCATCTAACCACGCGGCCAGCCCACCGTGACTCGGAGGAAACGCTCCCGTGCCTCTGTGTCCTGGCGGAGCTGCACCGCCGTACAGCGGCCTGCCTGGCGCTCACCTCAAATACACCGACTGGTGCAGAGCCGTCACCTTGTCGTCTGGCAGGAGGTGGTTGATGGAAACAAAGTCCTCTTGGAACTGCTCCTCAAGCAAGTCCATTCGGAGGGTCTTTGAACTGACGTAGCTACAAGCACATTGGAAACAGATGCGGTGTGAAACTCATTCCATGCTCCACACCAACCTGTGCCCAAGTCCCAGCACCACAGGTACCTTCCCGGGGACATAATGTACCCCAAACTGTCATGTACCCACATCACAGGTATCCTACTGGGGACATAGTGTACCCCAAACTGTCATGTACCCACATCACAGGTATCCTACTGGGGACATAGTGTACCCCAAATTGCATTTACGCACATCACAGGTATCCTACTGGGGACATAGTGTACCCCAAACTGTCATGTACCCACATCACAGGTGTCCTACTGGGGACATAGTGTACCCCAACTTGTCATGTATGCATGTCACAGGTGTCCTACTGGGGACATAGTGTACCCCAACTTGTCATGTAAGCATGTCACAGGTGTCCTACTGGGGACATAGTGTACCCCAAACTGTCATGTACCCACATCACAGGTATCCTTCTGGGGACATAGTGTATCCCAAATTATCATGTACCCATATCACAGGTATCCTACGGGGGACATAGTGTACCCCCCAAACTGTCAATGTACACAAGTCACAGCATCACAGGTTTCCTACTGGGGGACATCGCCATGTATTCCCCCAATAATCAGTGTGCCCAAATCGCACTATTACAGGTACACCAGGGGGATGTCACTGTGTCCCCGTAAACCATCAATGGTTTCCTCTTGCCAACTCATCAAGGCATTCCATTCTAAACCTGGTGGAGTCTGGAACGGAGGGCCCTCTGGCTCCACCCATGAGCATAGGCTCTGGGCACCTGGGCCGGAGGGCCGCTTCCTGATGCAGCTGGGTGGGACCCCTGACACATTCCACTGCACAGGCCTCTGGTTGGCCTGAAGCCAGCCCCAGAGGGAACAGAACATAGAACTGGGTGCATCAGGTGGGCACAAAAGTCGGGAGGCTGAGCACCCCAAGAACAATAGGTCGGGGAGAATAATTCCCCAGTCTGCCCAGAGTGGGCATGGGTCCCTGTCAGAGAGATAAACACATGGGAGGAAGAGAGTCAGGGGACACCAGGAGCAAGCACATGGTGAAAGTGTCAGGAAACAGGCCTCCTGGAGAACAATGGCAAAGAAGGTCCAACTTTAGGAGTGTGTGTGTTGGTGGGAGGGGCAGGGGTGGACTTTTATCTGTGCTTGTTCACAAGGAGGAAAGTCTACAGGATTCTTGTAGGCACTTGAGTGGTGGCGTTGGCTGTTGTCGCTGAGCTGAATTGCAGCTGATTTCTGAGTCACTGGGGAAGACAGAGGCAGACCTCAGGGGTATAGGCTGGAGGGCCTCTGGGGTTTCATGGGCTTTGGAGAAAGGAGCTGAGAACATGATGAATCAAATTTGAAACTGGAGGGTCCTGGAGGATTCGGAGCAGGGAGCCTTAACCACCCAGCCCGTTGCCTGAGATACAAGCAGGGATGTGTTTTCAAGGCCACCCTGTCGCCACGCTCACTTCCTATGTGGCATGTGTGACTCGGGAGCCTGCCCGCTTTGAGCTCAGAATCAAGAGCAGAGAGAGGACGGTGACATGCAGGCTCCCGTGGAAGATGGCAGTTATCGCGTCTAACGAAGGGACAGGAGAGAGAAAGGGGCCCCTGCACGAAGGAGAAAATGTGTCATTTTAGTGCAAAAAAAAAAAGTCACACAGACAACAGCAAACACCGAAAAGTGAAGATTTCACTACAAGAGTTCTTTCTCCAACACGTTGCTAGGCAACTGTTATGAATACTTGTGTTTTCACCAAACTGCTGACTTTTTGCACTTGGTTCTCTGGGGCTGTGTGGGAGTGTGTGCAGGAATGAGGGTGTGACCCCCAGGACCAGGAGGGGTGGTGCCGGAGGCTGCTCCATAGCTGAGACCTGGGGCGCTAGGGGGTGGGGTTATCTTTATCTCTGAAGCTCTTTATCACATTATCACATATTTGCACCTGAGTCTCTCCTGGCCCTGAGACACTCCCCGAAATGCCATTTCCTGAGTGATCCTGAGCACCACTTGGTGTGCCGGGGCCTCGGTTTGCACACCTTGAAGTGGAGAAGGCGATGCCCGTCCTCGTGGGGCTGCCACGAGGGTGCAGTGTGAGAGGAGATGCAGCCCTGGAAACGCCCAAGTGGTTGTCTCACCGTGACCACGATTCACGTTCTACCCATCACCTGGAGGTGCTCCTTGCGTTACCTTGGAAACCCCAGCTGGGCACAGGCGATGCTAGCGTGGTGGCCTTTCCAGTCGTCGGAGCACACGGTCCTCCAGGCCGCCTCTGTGAACACCTGGAGCACGCCATTCTGACCGCTCACGCGGACTGGCCGGCGTCCATGTACAACCGTCAGTGGCCAGCAGAGCCCTGAGGCCGCCGCAGAGATTTCTCTGCAGCCAGCCCAGACCCTCCTCTGCTGAGTCTGACCTGCTCCTCGCCCACAGCGCCCCACCCTGGCAGGGACCCCCAGCTGCCTGGACCCGCTGAACTCTCTTGGAGATCTCTTATTGCTCATGGGGTCTCCTCAACCCAGTTTAAGCTTCAGGCAACACCACCACCCTTAAACCCAGCCCAGGATCTCCTGGGGGCCCGTTGGATTGCAGTTGAGAACATAATTTGACACTGGCATCAACTTGGACCCATTTCACAGATGGGAAAGGCGAGGGCCCAGTGGTGCTAACTTCCTCCTGTGTCTACAGTGAAGAGGCAGGACCTTACCACATCGGTACTCATCCTCCCCGGCTTTGCAGTCCGAGACGCCGTCACACCGAGCCGTGAGTTCAATACACTTAAAAGAAGACCGGCACCTGTACTTTCCGGAACAATCGAAATGGACTGAGGACAGAAGACGGGAATGTCAACAGAGGGCTCCCCCAGTGTGCAGCATAACAACTATCCACCTGCCCCATCAGTAATGAAGCACCACTGAAATTGCACCTGTGTCACAGCCCAGTTTCTGTTCCACATTCCAGGGGATGGGGCTGCTGCACCCCATTCCGTCTCACTAAGTGGCCTTGAGCCACAACTGGAGGTGAACTTAGACCCCAGAGGGCTCAAGGTCAGGAGAGAAAGTGCATGTCAGCAGACTGACCAGCTGAGCCAGCTGAGCAAGGAGCCCTGAGCAAGGACTCTTTGAGCACCCCCACCCCCACCCCCCGCAATTGGTCCACCTCCTGTTGTCTGACTCTGGGCAGCGAGTGAAGAAACTGCAGACCACGCAGCCGAGCAGGTGGAGAATTACACTCACCTGTTTTCCAGTATTTGAAAGAGAAACTGGGATATTGTTCCCTACGAGAGACCATCCAAATGACTCACTTTCCCCAAAGCCACAAGCACCTTCTTTTAAAAATAGCAGGCGTGCTGGGCCTGGCCTGAATGGCCTCCTTGTCTTCTCCCCCGGCCCTGCACCCGCCTCCTGCCTGTGGATTCTATTTCATCAGGTGCCCGTGGACACTTCTAACTGGGCAGTTTCTGTGGTGACAAAGCCCCGAGCGTGGCCAACAGTCCCTGCTGGGCCCCAGGCTGGCTCTACGTTCACACAGGCAAGTCGAACTCAAAGCAGGCAACCCCGAAGGATGTTTGCCTCCAGTAATTAAGGCTGGGTGGCTGGCAGCACCACGATGGGGGTGGGGGGAGCTCATGAAAGTTTAAGTGCCTGGATAGGGAGTTGAGAGCCTCCTGAATAATAGATCACACTCACCACCCAGACCGATGGCCAGCGCTAGTATCAGCGCAATGACCCCAATGACGATGATTGGGAAGAATTTCAACGGCAACAGAGACAGGATCTGTGCGGCCACTGCATCCGCATCTGAAAACCCAAAAAAGGGGGAGGGGGCACAGAGCAACACATTTGAATAAAAGGAAACTTAAAATTTCACTTCATTTTCCCACCCTCAAATGCAGAGAATGTCCCAGTCAGAGAAAGTTGCCTTCATTTAGGGAAGGGCCACCAGCCAGGGCACATTCTCTGGAAGTCCAGCCCCACACTCTCCAACCCTGACCCAATTCTGTTCATCATAGGTTAAGAGATAGTGTTATAGGTTGAACTGTGTACCCCAAAACAAATACGTTAAGGTTCTAACCACTAGGACCCCAGAATGTCACCTTATTTAGAAATAGAGGTAGTGAAGTTCAAATGAGGACATTAGAATGGGCCCTAATCTGTCTGGTGTCCTTACAAAAAGGAGGAATTTGAACACAGAGGCAGACACACACACACACACACACACACACACACACACACACACACACACACACTCACACACACTCACACACACACTCACACACACACTCACACACACTCACACACACACTCACACACACATTCACACACACACTCACACACACACTCACACACACACACTCACACACACTCACACACACACACTCACACACACACTCACACACACACACTCACACACACACACACACTCACACACACACACACTCACACACACACACTCACACACACACTCTCACACACACACTCACACACACACACTCACACACACACTCACACACACACTCACACACACACTCACACACACACACACACTCACACACACACACTCACACAGGGGATGATATGAAGGGGCATAGGGAGAGGCCATGTGAAGGTAAAAAAAGAAGTGGGGGTGATTCATCTTCAAGTCAAGAAAGACCAAGATTGTCAGCAAAACAAAACACCAGAAGCCAGGAAGAGTTCCCCTGCAGGCTTGAGAGGGAGCATGGCCCGTCAATGCCTTGATTTCAGACTCTCGTCTCCAGAATGGTGAGATGATATTTCTGTTGTTTTGAGCCACCTACTGTGTTTCGTTGGCCTGAGGAAACCAAAATGAAGGGAAAGTAGGGTACCAACTTCCAAGGACATTTTTCCCACAGACAAGGGTGATGTGTACAATCCACACGGGGTGCTTTCAGGAGGGGGAGAGCTGGGACCTCTGGGAGGGCCTCCAGATGATGTAGCAGGACCATTCTTCACGGTTCTTGTGCACAGAGGCACCAATGGCCTTGGTTCCAGAGCGACTTTCCGAGGATGTTGGCAGAGCAAACAGTCTTAGAAGATAGAGACAGTGTTTCTCTGGAGCAAGGGATGGGTTTATTGACTGTGCAGCTTAATAAATATAATGTCTTCCTTTGAGGCAAAGCTTATACAGGTCTACTTACAGTCCATTATAAAGATTCCGGTTCCCTTCGCCTGAAACCTTCGCCATGGGTTCCTCAGCTGTAATGCAGACCCACTGTGTGTGCAACTTATGCCTGAGCTGCTCCACATCACCTCCATGGGACTCGGTGGGCAAGAGCACCAACTCAAACAGGATGTAGGTGCCACTTGTGCTGCGAGTAAGACGTTTCTTGTCTTCTGCCAGCATCCCTGGAACTGTGGCAGGCTGACTTGTTAGCTTGTACCAGACCCTTCCCAGCTCTAGCTACAGTACCAGGCAGATTGGGTGGAAGGAGATGTGAAGAGCATTAAGATACCCAGAAGTATGAGCCTCTCTGCACAACCAGGAGGATTGCCAGGGCTCCCTTTACTCTCAAAGGAACAGGCCATTTTAGGCAAATTATCTCATCAATCCTGAAAATCCATGCATGCCCAAGTTGTCTTCCCTTAATTTAGGAAGGTTGGAAAGGAGGAAGTGAAGAAAGCCTCCCATGCTATCACTCAGAGACCACCCCTGCCTCTCTTCTCCTGGTCTTGGAGACACTGAGCCAAAAGTTCTTCCGTGAAAGAGCCAAGAAGGTCTCCCCCCACCTATCTTCGGAAAGACACAACTTCACCTTCTGGCAATCATATGGTTATAAAATGGGGCACGTGCAGGAGGCAACCAATCAATGATTCCCTCTCATCACTGATGTTTCTAGCTCTCTCTCCCTCTCCCTTTCTCTCTGAAATCAATAATTCAAGGCAGTCTTAAAAAGAAGAGAATTTAAATATGGGGGCGGGAAGAAAAGGGGGATTGGGAGGAAAAGGGGGAGAGAGCAAGCAAAAGAAAAGGATAAGAGGGAACACAGAAGCAAGGGAAATAAGGACACACGTGCAACATGTAGTCCTAAGTGACCATGGGGATAGAGCGTGAGAACGGAGGGGAGACAGAGAGACAAACCCAAGCTCTTTGCTTTGGCCTGGATGAGCAGGCGGTTTGTTCACAGTTGCCTTCTCGGCGCCTAGGACAGTCCCTGGTGCCTGGTAGTTCTTTTTGTTTTGTTTTTAATGTTTATTGGTTTCAGAGAGGAAGGGAGAGGGAGAGAGAGAAACATCAATGATGAGAGAGAATCGTTGATCAGCTGCCTCCTGCAAGTGCCCCACTGGGGTTCGAGCCCAGAACCCGGGCATGTGCCCTGATCAGGAATCAAACCATGACCTCCTGGTTCATGCTCTATCTGAGCCACCATGGCCAGGCCCCGGTAGTTTCTAATAAATAATGGTAAATTGGATGGATGGATGGATGGATGGATGGATGGATGGATGGATGACATCATGATAACGAAGGTTGTTTTCTCAGGGTTAGAGACCAGTTCCTTTCAAGGCAACAAGAGCATGGTCTTGAGTTAACAAAGCAGAAGCCTCTTGGCCACCTGCCCCCACCCCTCAGAAGGCTGCACCAAGTTAATGTCTGGCTCCTGCTGAGATGCCTTCAATCCATTTACAATTTAAAAGTCAGCGGAACCCCAAGAATGACCTCATATTATTCCAGTTGTTCTCTATCTAAGAGTTAACTTAGGAAATGAATCCAGATTGTGGAGTCAACAGTTGTTCAGTTAGAACATTCGTACCGTTCACATTGGCCCCTTCACTGCTCCACCACAGAGCCTGTGGGCGCTCCCATGGCCCCACTCCCCCTTCTTGTTCTGTCCTTGAGAACATGCTTAGAAGAAAAAGCCAGATGCACAACATCTCTCCAAAGAGGAATGCAAATGATAAACAAGCATAGAAAAAATTCAACCTCTCTGGAGTTGAAAAACACACACAAATTAGACACAACTACCTATCAACTTCCCAATCCATTATTATTATTATTATTATTATTATTATTATTATTATTATTATTCTCACTATAGTCCAAAGTGAAGAAAATGGACTGCCAAGTATAGTCAATAGGGGTTTGTAATATGTAAACTTTTTGACAAATTTGAAATATGTACCAAAAGTTTAAAAATGGATGGGAATCTTTGACCTAGTAAATTCAGTCCTGGAATTTACCCTAAGATGTCATTATAAATATACACAAATATCTACCTACAAGGATACTTAGAGGAGTGACGTTTATAATACTGATGCACAGGAAATAGCCCAAATGAGCAACAGAAGAAACTGGTGAAATAACAAATGGATAGAGACAAATGAATGCTGAGAACCAAATGAATGATGGAGAAGGGCGTTGGCAAACTTTTTCTGTAAAGAGCCAGATAGTAAATATTTTAAACTTATTAGCCATTTGGTCTTTGTTACAACTACGCAACTCTACCATGGCATGAAAGCAGCCATAGACAATATGTGAATAAATGGATGTGTTACAATAAAATTTTATTTGTAAAAACAGGCACTGGGCCATATTTGGCCCATGGGCCACAGTTTGCTAAACCCTGAAGAATATTTAATTAATTAATGCCATGGAAAAATAAACATGATATTGTTCAGTTAAAAAGAAAAGCTTCAAAATGGTACAAAGAGTATATGTCACTTCCAAGGGAAATATAGATATGTTGAAAGAAAAAAGGCAAGAAATCCTACCAAGAGTGCTAATAGAGTTATCCCTGAGTAATGGTGAAATTGTAGGCAACTTTCAAAAGATCTTTTTGATTAACTGTATTGTCCAAATTTCTATAATGAACAATACATTGCTTTATTGAAAATGAAACATTTTAAACAGCTTTTGTTCCTTCCCACTACTGGGAATTCATCATGAGGAAATAATCAAAAATTAGCATAGAGATATATGTATAATGCTATTCATGTTCATATTATTTATATTATAAAAACATTAGAAACAACTACATGTCAAATGATGATAAAATGGCTATGTAAATGACACATACACTTGATGGAATGTTGTGGAGCTATGTCAAAAAGCATTTATAAGAACCAAAAGCACGTGGAAAAACGCCAGTCTGTCGGCTCCATGAGTGAACGCGTACTTACAGGCAAGGGCAGCAAGAGAATGAATGTAGACCTTAAAACCAGGTAAAACTGGGGGATCAGGTGATTGCAGGGTACTTTTAAAAGTTACATTTATGTTCATTTGAGAGAAGGAAGTAGTTTTAAATTGTGTCCTTTTCTTTTACTTGGAATCTCTCCTCCCATCTCCCATCCTGTCCACTAACCCCCAACATCAATTGTGGTTTAAAGGGAATCAGTAGGGTAGCCCCTACTCATGCTTTCCGGAATCTCAGCCAGAGCCCCTAGGGGTCCCCTTCACAGCCCCCGAGGCCAGAACTCCTAACTGTGTCCAGGACCCGCGCACACAGCGCACTGTGACAGATCCTGATAGACTGACCAGAATGAGCCTCTTTGGAGAGGCACTAGGAGCCCACTGTTTCTCCACATATTTGTAACTTGTTTACAACTCCAACTGCTCTGTTGCTGGGAGCGACGCCATTGCCTGCTGTTGGAATTTAATCTAAGCCTCTAATACTTTCAGAGATGTCCATCCTATTATAATTTTCTGGAAGGGTTGGTGAGCGCAGGTTCTCAGGACTTCCTGAAGGGCTCAGGGTCTGGCCAGGATCCGACCCTAAATCCCAGGGCCAGTTGGAGCCTCCATTCCTGAAACTCTCCATCAGAGAATGCACACCCGTGTCCAGGGAGTCTGCAAGGGGCTGAACAAAACAGCCCCTCTGACACCCCATCTGTAAACTACAGAATCACATGCGTTTAGTGTAAGGACTCCTGGTGAGATATTTCCCCAGAGGGACACTCAGCCGCAGCCACATTTGTCATCTAGATGGGGAAGGGGAGGGAGAGGGAGGGCAGGGTCGTGCAGAAATCACACCTGGTTCCACCTACCTGGTGTGACAGGACTTATTTTCAGGTCATCGAGGCCAAAAAGGGATCTGAAGGAGAAGGGGGCTTCGGCGGCGGGCGGGTCGTTCTCCCCCATGGTGACTATTTCAGGGCCTCTGAGGTTCGGCTCCACCTCCACCTCCACCTCCTTCACCAGGAAGAACAGAAAGTGTTTGCTTCCCTGTTTATAGTTTCAGCCTCAAATGCATCTTGGTTGTGTCCAATCTTTGAAATCTGACAATCCTCATCAAGCAAATTCAGTACCGATTAATCAAAACTATTTCTCTGGTGGGCACACATTGTTTCCTAAGCTACAACGGATAACAGAGAAACTTCGGGAGTTAGCGAACAACAATGAACTTAATTCTGCTAAAATAACGACTTTCCCAGTGCTCGTTCGACCAATCTTAAAACCAACTGAGTGCCCAGCTTTAGAGATACAGCCTTTTGCCATTTAAAGGTTAGCGTTCCAGAATTTCACAGAAGAGAAATTACTTTCAAAGCACATCCCTCCTCTTTTATCATTGCTGTTCGTCTCCCATAAACTCAACCCTTTGCCTGCACAGGTGATAAGTCTATATAGACATAAGAAGTTCTGATACTCACATCACGTCCGAGCCCCTCAAGTGCCACCAGACCCAGGGAGGGGACACTGGCCCACAGTATTTGTAGCTTTCCTGGCTCTCACAGCCATGACCTAATTAAGGATGAAAGTATCTGGGCCCTTGGGGTGCCTGGTCCCCGCCCCACTCTCAGAGCAAAGGGAGGAGTGGCTGGCACCAAAGCTGCACTGGGGCTCTGTTTCCTCCGGGAGAATTCCTCCTATCGCAGGGCCCCAGAGGCCGGAGCCTTTGGAATTCATTCCCAGTAACCCCTCCAGGGGTGGAGGGAGCGAGGGAAGGGCCAAATGTCTCAACCACATAGCAGCTCCCGGCCCCAGGCAGCAGGCGTGACTGCTCAGCTCACCAAAATCCAGCAATAGGCACAGGAGCAGAGACCCTTAGGGCACCTGTCTTATTTCCTTTTCGTTTACCTGTTGTCATGTGTGCAACTCAAAAAGGAACTGTTAAGCCATTTAAAGCGGACTTCGTCTTCGTGCTGTTCCATGTGCTCACAGGAAAACCTAAGCGAGACTGTGCGCTTAAAAACGTTGATCTCATTCCCACCGTAAGAGGGGCTTTGAAGAGCATCTTGGGAAAGTAATGCACGCACAGTCAGCATCTTTGTCTATGATTCTGGCTGATACTGGCTGGTTAGCTGTCAGCATGTAGCAAATGGCACAGCTTAATTTATAACAAGAATAAGAGTAAAGGCTCAAATGCTTCCTGCAACCGGGAACCCAGGTGAGGAAGTCCCCCCCCAAACACGCCATGGCTGGCAGGTGTCACCACAGGGAGGAAGGCAGAGGCGCCATCCGTCCACAGCGTCGCCTCTCCCCGCCACTCACTTCACTCACCATTTCTGGAGCCGCCATCATGAAAGGCACAACTAATTTCCTTTTTCATTATAAAAGCAAGCGGAATGGTGAGCCGGCGGCCAACGGGTTAGTCCAACCGGGAAATATTTCCAAGTCACTCAGCCTTGTCGACTCAATCGTCACAGCAAATGGCATGGTCGTGGGCGAAGGTGTAACCCAACCTGCGCGTGGCTATCAGGTGGCCATCGGCGGCATGACCGCGGGGACCAGGGCGGGGGAACCTGGCTGCCCTTTAATTAGTAAGTAAGGTAAGCAAACCTTTGCAGAACCTTCACGTCAGAGAGCCGTTGGAACGCAGGCTCTCCTCTTACTTAAAAGAGCAGGGAGGTCTGCCCAGTGCCGAGCAAGCACACCAAGAGGCAGGTGAACGGCTTGGTGGGGGTTTCCGTCCCCCATGTGACTGAGCCCAAGGGTAGACTTGAAGCTGCTCCGAAGACAAAAGGCAGGGAAGCGACCGGTCTCACAGCCAACTCTCTACAGAGACGCAGGGGCCTCTGTGTCCCGAGGGGTTTCTGCACACAATGCGGCTTAAAGATGTGTCATCGGGAGAGAAAGGGCCCGCCGCTCTGGGCCCACTGGATGTGAAATGTGCACTCGTTTGTTCGCAAATATTCATGGGCCATCTGCCATGAGGCCAGGCATCTAGGCTCAGAGCAGGTGGCAGAGGGATCAGAGCATCCACCTGTGGTCTCAGGTGGTGACAGCTGCTAGGAAGGGGTGAGGCTGGGAGAGGCTCAGTGAGGGACGGGACAGGGTGCGAGGAGGAAGGCCTCTAGACAGAGTGATGTTTCAGGCAAGACCTCGGCCATGTATCAAGTGGGTCTTGTGAGCTACGAGGGGAGGTTGTTCCAAGCGTGGGACCATCAACGCCAGAGACGCAGAGCGGATGAGCTGGGGGTGTCTAAGAAACCCCAAGAAAGCCCATGTGCTTGGAGAGGCCAGTGGGCGGATCATGGGGCCCAGGCCATTGGAAGAAGGACTCTGGTTGATTTCTTTGTGGTGGAAAATGGGGAGGAGATGAGCAGGGCAAGGTCGGGGTCTGAACATGTGCACTGAGTGCAGGGGCGGGGTGGGGTGGGGCAGGGTGGAGTTGGACACAACGGAGAGCCTAGAGTAGGCTGCTGAAAACCTCCGCCACCATGGCTGTGACTTGGCCACGGTCCTAGCAGTGCAGATGGAGAGGAGGGCTGCATTTGCGGTTGCTTTGAAAGCAGAATTGGCAGGAGTTGCCAATCGTGGTTTCATTCAAGCTCGTTTTCCTGCCTCCAGCACCTGCCCAGGCACCTAGCCGTGTCTTCTGGATTTAACAGAGATCATCCTTCAAGCTCATAATCCCTTCTTCACATCTTTCCTAACTATGCTCTCCGTTCCCTGAACAAACGTTTAATTTTTTCCCTGTTGCTCTTGAGAGATAACTGTTCAAGCTAAGGAAAGGGATTCAGCTAGATGGGTATTTCCTGGTTTGCATAATTAAGCTTTTCCTTTAAAGGAGAATTTTACATTTTGATATGTTATAAGCACAATTGCTCAAAAAGTGGTTTATCATTTAGGACAGAAAAATATATTTGAGTAGAGGCTATATTTCAGACCCCAAATCTAATTTTTTCCCTCTAGGGAACAAGCTTTGTCTATTTTCTGACTTTCACATTTAAGCTATCAGATTCATTTGTTCATGAAGTTATTTCATCCTTTAAATTTCTCAAAGAAAAAAGATATTATTTAACTATATAGTTAACTTATATTTAAAGATGAAATGTTGAAATCTCTTCCTCTGAGATAGAGTATAATACAAAGAGATTCACTATACATATGCACTATGTCTAGTCAACATTTGGAATCCAAGCCAGTGCAATGAAATCAAAGAAGAAGGAAGAAAGGAAGGAAGGAAGGAAGGAAGGAAGGAAGGAAGGAACGAAGGAAGGAAGGAAGGAAGGAAGGGCAGAAGATAAAAAGAAAAAAGAAGAAAGGAAAAAAGAAACTTTAAAAGAAAAGAATATATACTGCTAATAAATAAATAAAACTATCATTATTCATAGACAAAATTATTTTTGGACATTATCTTAAAAATTTTCAAGATAAATGATTAGAACCGACAAGTAAGTCAAGCAAGATTTTTGGATACAAGTTCAATGTAAAATTATGTTAAATCAATAGTATTTTGATTTATCAGCAACAAAGAATACAAACATGAAATTTTAAAAAGATATAATTTACAGTGGCATCAAAAATGATCCAACACCTCAGAATAACCCAATTAATACTGCAAGACCTATCACATAAATTTCGATAATAGAATTTAAAGAAAATAAAGACCTGGAAACTCTATGCCAGGAAATCTGACTTAGACAAAATGGTCGCATTCTTTGAAAAAACAACTTAATACAACTGATACAAGGAGAATACTCCTATATCTATTAATAAATTAAATTCATAATTTAAAACTTCTGAACAAAGAAAATTCTAGGCCCAGATGACTTCACTGGTAAATCCTTTCAAACATTTAAGAAAGAAGTTCTACCATCTTACAAAAACTCAGAGAATTGGGAAGAAATACTTCCCAACTCACTTATGAGGCCATAATAATGTTGATGCTTAACGTGACCAACTGTCCTCATATGCCTGGAACTGAGAGGGGTACTGTGATGGGCACTTTCAGGGCCAAGACCAGGAAAGTCACAGAAAAACCACCAGGAGTTTAGCCACTAAGCCCTAACAAGGGAATTACAAGAAAGAAAAACAGCAGGCCAAGCTAATTCACAGACACTGATGCAAAATTCTAAACCAGGTATTAGCAAATGAAAGCCAGCCCTCCATACAAGGCTAACATTATGAATAAGGTTTTATCTTACGTTTTTTATCGTGGTTTCAATTGACATTTTCCTGGTGACTAATAATATTGAATATCTTTTCACACCCTCATTAACCACTCATGTATCTTCTTTTGTCAAGTGTCTATATAGATCTTCTGCCCATTTTTAAAGGGGATTGTTTTCTTATTATTGATTTAAGAAAAAAAGAATAAACATGCATACAATATACAGATATATATATATATATATATATATATATATATATATATATATATAAATAAAATTTTATACTAGAGGCCCGGTGCATGAAATTCAGGTGGGGGTGTGTGTTCCACTCAGCCCAGCCTTCACCCTCTCCAATCCGGGACCCCTTGGGGAATGTCCGACTTCCAGGGATCAGGCCTAAACTGGCAATTGGACAGCCCTCTCACAATCCTGGAACGCTGGCTCCTAATCTCCTAATCACTCACCTGCCTGCCTGCCTGGTCACCCCTCACTGCCTCTGCATGCCAGCCTGATCACCTCTAACTGCCCCCCCCCCCCCGCCAGCCTGGTTGCCCCTAATTCCCCCTCCACACTGGCCTGGTTGCCCCTAACTGCCCCCCCTGCCGGTCTGGTCGCTCCACACAGCCTGCTGTTCAGTCGTTTGGTTGTCCCTCACTAACCCCCCTGCCGGCCTGGTTGTAGGCAGCCACCTTGTGAGGGTATGAGGGTTAATTTGCATATTACCTCTTTATTATATAGGATTACATTCTGGATATGCTGGATACAACTCCTTTGTCAGGTGTATATATGGTGATATTTTCTCCCAGTCTATGGCAGCAT